CAGGGGGTCTGCGTGCCCATGGGCCACACAATAGAATTCCCAAACCACGCTGTGAGGTCCCTCTCGAAGAGAGACCCAGGGATGCCGAGGAATTAGGGTGAAGTGGCACCGCACCTGCAGGGCTAATTAAACAGTTCAAGATGTAATAGCCGCACAAAGGAAAACCATTCTCTGTCCTTTCAGAACTACAAACACTTGTGCTGGACGAGATGGGCACTGATAAGCCGCGCGGCCCAGCGCGGGTCCCCAGCTAACACTCAGACTCAGTGTTAACACTTCATAGAACAGCACTGAGTCCTGTTGCCAAGGTCAACAGCACAGATGCACTAATTGTATTACGAGCTTGACATCTAGTGGCCACCCCTGGCAGGCCACAGCCGGCAAAGGTCAAGCCAGCAAGGCCTGTGGACAGTCTCCTTCTCAGGACCCAGCTCAGGGAGCCCCCGTGGTTACAGCACCACCTTCAGACAACAGGCTAAGGCCGCTGGGGAAGGCTTTCCGGGACGCGAGGGGGTGGGGATCCTCCAGGCTCGGCCGACCTACTCTGGGGTGACGGGCAAAGACAGGCCCCTGGAGGACAAGGCTCACCCACTGGCATGATCTCTCTGGTGGCCATCCGTTCAGCCAGGAGAAGGCTTCCCTTTAATTAACAAACAGATCAGCCCCACTCTCTAACCTGAGCGGAGCCCATCAGGCTGCTGTATTATTTCGGTGACTATTTTACACTCTCTGCTGCACACCTTGCCTTACTGGTTTGCTTGGAAATCCCACGGACAGCTAACTGCATTTTAAATCATCAAGGTGTTCAAAGGAGAAGAGAAAAACCTAAGGACGAGTTGTTGCTTTCTCTGCAGAAAACTTTATTTGAGGCCATATTAAAACATTAGATTTTTACAGGTTTTGTTCACGTCTGGCATTAGATGACACACGGACAAACGTAGCATATGCTGCAGTTACAAACCTGCTCCCCAGCAACACAATTAGCCCCGACCGTCACGAGACCAGGACTCCTCGGCCTGGTTCTGGCATCCAGTCCAGGGACCACGCAGGGAAATAAAAACTAACCTGAGCACAAAACCCTTCAAACACGGTTCTGCAGCATAAAGACGGTGTGCAACCTCATTAGCGGTTAAGAAGATTTTAATTTCAGGTGAATAAAGCCGGGGCCAGCACTTCCGTTTGAGAATGCTGAGTCCCAGCTGATGTTCAGTGCAGAGGGGAACCTTGGTTTTACTCTGAATTCCCCCCAAAAGAGAATGTTCTGAGAGCTACCTTGAGAAGAATGTTAAAGGCTGAGAGATTGCAGTTGGAAATGAAATCTGACCCACTTTTCCCATCATTTTGTGTACAAAAAATAATCAGCTTGCTAAGTAATTCCTGCTGTTGGGCCATACCTTCTGTTTTCTGGCTCTGAACAGATCTCAGAGTACTGGTTTATCAAATCTTGTGGAAGTTTAAAATGTACATACCCCCCGCCCCCCCTGGTTAAATAATCAGCTCTTCCTCTGAGCGGTGCGAATTAATTGGCCAGTTTTCTGTTGACCACCACGGATGATGCATTTTTAAATAGGGTAAGCTTTTTAAATGCTATTTTCAAAATACATGTTTGCAAATTCCTCCTTTCCCTTTCTTACTTTTCACCTCTCCCGGCTCCGAAAACAATGTGCCTACCAATGTTAGAAAGTGGATTCAGTGTTGTTTCCTTTTCCAACACTGAATTGTAAATGTGTGTGTGTGTGGGGGGGGGGGGGGGCTTAAGGCAAACCATGCATATACAGATAAAAGAAAAAAGCTCTCTGCACCGAGGGCTGGTGGCCTCCTTTGCCTTAACTTAAACACAGTCTGTGAACACCACTGGTAAATTCTTAAATCACATGCTCACCACATTTAAAAGGATTTTTTAAGATAGCCATATGACTGAAAATAAAAACACACTTTGAAGCAATTAGTGCTAACAAACAAAACACAGGATGGCAAATTGTTTTAAATTATAATATCCTTTTGTTCTTCCTTAAACACGTTTTCTCTCTAACGACAGTAAAATGCATCTTTATTAAGTTGTATTTTATAGGATAAAGGATAGCAGTGTAGCACCTTTTAAAGTTCTTAGGAGGCCTGTTAAGGGCTCTTGTCATTAGAAGTTTTAATTACTTTTTCTTAGAACAAAAATATTCAGCTGGCTCCAAGGATTTCATTATTTGGTGGCAGACATTTAACTGAATCTGAAAGCTGCAACACACTTACTTCTAAATTTTCAGAAACAGTAAAAGATTGTTCCTATTGGGAAAGTAAGTCTCAGTCATCCTTAAATTTTACAACAGGGTAACTTTGCAACTTCACAAAAAGCATCATTACGTTTTCTCATTGTAACTACATAATCATATTTCATTCCTGCCGTGATAAGTTTCAGAAGCACGGAAGCTATTTTTGGACAGCTATCTTTTCTCACTGCTTGCTTAAAAACCAAAGTCTGGAAAAAGTCTTATTTCTTTTTTAAGAAGTAAAGTCTTTTTACTGTAAATGAATGTGGCTGCGGATCTTTGCCACAAAATAATGCCTCCATGTTCTGCTATAATTTTATATATGATGTCTGTTTTTCATGGCATCATCCACAGCCTTCAATTTTACTGTATGCATCCACTGCTGTAATTAACGTCACACCCAAACTGATACAAAGGAATTATTTACTTTGTTTCTAAAACAATGTAAACTAACTTAGCTCCCTTGTAACTTCATGCATAGTCTGTTTATTTCCATTGTGTTTAACAAAGTTAAATTTTTGAGAAGATCTGATTCATGCTGGAGTAATTTAGTTTTCACAACCATTTATCTTTAAAAAATATTTTAGTTATCTTACTAATGACAACCAGCCCGGCACAGTAACATACACACCTCCTCCAATGAGCCGGGAACAGAGTATCTTTTATGCTCTGTGAACAATCAGCTTCAGAATAATTAAATCAGAAAGAACTCTTTTTTAAAAAAATAGTTTGCCTAAACTATCCTTAAAATAATGGAGGAAACACACTACTTGACAAAGGCTGAGCCCCAGACAACAGGCAATTTTTGGCCTGTTGCAAAATATAATCAGAAACTGTGTTAATATCTGGAATACAACTCTGAATGGCAGAAAAACACAGGTTTGGCAAAAACTTTAATTTACAGTAGGTATAAAACCTGAATGTTTCACCTCTGCATAAATTCAGTAACGACAAGGGGAATTCAAAAGAGAACTTGTAAATAATTTATTCCACCCTAGGTTTTCAAATATGGGCTCTATACCCCTAACATGTTTACACTATTAGGTTCACCAAGCTCACATTTCCGAAGTGAAATTCAAAATGAATAGCAGAGGCTCAGCTTGTTAATTGTTAAATACCAGAGATTTTACTCTATTAATTAAAATATGCTTTAAGAAAAAGGAGACATTGCACATTTTGATAACGACCCTACAAAGCTGAGAAGTATTTACATTGTTGCATTTTGGGGCTCCTGTGAAAGCCGATTTCAAACTATTCAGGAACCACAATAATAAAGCTTTAAAATTCCTCACTGGGATGCAATGTAGTTCTTTTGAAGGGAAGACTGTCTTTCTCATTCGGCAGAAATAAATCCATTCATTTGATCATGTAGTCATTGAGGGCAATACAAAACAAACCAAGTGTGAGAAATTCTATGTGATGAAGTAAACAAAACAAAAAAATCCATTTCCATGACAAAAAGATTCTTTGTCCCTAATCCACCCACCATATGCAAGCGTTTCTTTTTAGCATATCTCCGGTTCCAATCTTGGGCGACGAGGCTGCACAGGACCGCGGCCTCACCTCGGAGCGACAGAAAGGCCCAGCTCACGAATTTTATTTCATGAGTTCCTGGCCGCGTCCTCAGCGTTTTCCCCGTTCTCTGTCCCGACGTGCAGTGTACCTGCTTTGTCAAACTTCACACCACCGTGTGATCAATGCCCATTCCTGTGATTTTCTGCAGAAAGCCTAATTCTCATGGTAAAAGGATGCGTGTCGGCCTCCAAACAACTTAGAATCGGTTAATCCGAAAGTTAGCCGGCGTGTTTTTTAAGGCATGAACTACCTGGTGTCCGCGCTGCGGCGCAGCCACGGGCCGCCCTGCGTCCTGGTGTTGCACCCTGGGGACCCCGCGGGCCCCGGGCGGCACAGCGCGGATTCGGGCCCAAAACTTCCCGGGAGGAGGCCGGGCCGCCGGCGCCCGGCTCACAGGCGCAGCTCCTACCTTCTTCACTCGGGAACGAGGAGGAAGTCCCCGCGGCGCCGCGAATACACACGAGCAGGCCGAGCAAACTTTGAGCCGCCAGGACGTATCGGGTCCGCCGCGTGCACGGAACACCCCCCAGCGCCGCGGCTCAGCTCACCCTGGGTTAAGTCCCCAGGCAGCCATTAGGCAAGGCCAGGCGACAGTGCCTGCTCGCTCCGGAACCGGATCATTGGTTTGTCAGCGCGCGGGGACTCGAGGCTCCGCGGCCTCCGGGCGCACGAGGCGGACCGTGCGAGGCGGGGGCAGGCCGGAGTCGGGGCGGCGGCCCCGCTCCGAACGCGCACCGCCCGGGGCACCCGGCGCCAAACAAAGCTGCCCGGCCCGCGTCCAGCGGTAGGTGAGACTCGTACGCGTCCCTGCCGCTGCGCCCGCCCGGGGAAAGCCGGGGTCGCCGAGGCCAGCCTCAGGTCCGAGCGCAGGGAGCCCGGGGGGGTTGGGAGGCGGGGGGCGCGGAAGAGGCGGTGCGGACCCCTCCCGCCCCCGCCTAGCCCCGCGCGCAGCTCTCCAACTCCCAGCAGCTGAGCCAAGTTTACTTCGTCGCAACTCCGCGCAGCGCGCTTCGCCGGAGGACCGGTCCCCGCGGCCCGCCTGCCCTAGCCGGCGGCGCGCGGCGGACCCTGGCTCGCTGAAGCCAGGGACCTTCCCCGTCTGCGGCGCGCGGTCACCCCCGCCGCCCGGCTCTCCCCAGACCCCGCCACCCCGCGGCCCCTCACCGTGCTCCGGAGCCCCTTCTGGCGGCGGCAGCTCCTCGTCCGACTTGAGGTGTTGGGGCTTGGCCTGCTTGCGCCGAGACATGCTGCTAGCGGCGCGCGGGCCCCGCGTGGGGCAGCGGCATCAGCGGGGCGGCCGGCGGGGACAGCGCGGGGCGGCCGGGCGGGCGCGGGGCGCGGGGCGCGGGCGGCGGCGGCGGCTGCGCGGGCCGCGCATGGGGCTGAGCAATTAGGCTGGTGAATAATGCATGTCCATTAGCGGAGGGCCGCGCCGATTGGCCGGCCTCCAGCGGACTCCGGCGGCCTATGCAAATGAGGCCGCGCTCGCAATTAGCGGCCGCGCGGGCGAGGAGGCGGCCGGCGCCCGGGGACCTGGGAGCGCGCCGCCCGGCGCCGCCTACATCGCGGGTTCCGTGCTCCCCGGCGTCCAGGTGCGGCTCTGCGGCCGGGAGCTGGCGGGCGCGGCGGCTGCCCCTGCCCAGGGCGCAGGCAGCAAACTTTGGCGGTGTCCGCGCGGTGCCGTCTCCGCCGGCGCGCCGGGCTCTCCCCTTTATAGAGTCTGCGCCGCCGCCCGCGCCCCGCGCCGCGCCCCCCCGCCACCGCCCGGCCGCCCCTCCCGGAGAGAGCGGCCGCGGGCAGGGCTCCGGCCGGCGCCTTTGTCTCCCGGGCCGCTCGGGCGCCGCGCCTCCTACGCTCCGGGGCACGGAGGGCCGGCCGGTCGCGTTCGTTCCTCGGCAGCGGGTCGCAGCGCCGCTCGGCGTGCCAGCTCCGCTCAGGCTCAGGTGCCCCCTCTCTCCGGACCTTCTCTCCGGCTCCTGTCCCTTCCGCGGGCTCCCTCGGCGGCCGGCCTGGCTCGGAGACTCGCGGCCGGAGCGGAGCGGAGTGCGCACACCGGGGTGGCGGGACTTCGGCAAGACCAACTTTCCGGTTCGGAAGCGGCGCGGGCCGCGCGGCTCCTCCCCTCCTCTCCCCTACACCCCCCTCCCCTCCGCTCCCCCTAGTCTCCCCGCCCTCCCCCCCCCCCGGGGCCCCTCCGACTCTGCAGCGCCCGCCCCGCCCGCCGCCACCGCCGGGGCCGCCTGGGCCCCCTCGGCCACCCGCTGGGCCTCCCCGCTGCCAGCGGCTCCTTAAATCCAGGGAAAGGGAGGGGATGGTGGGGCCCCGATGTCCCTCCCCCCACTTCCCTTTCCTGACGGGTGCGGTGTCCAGGCACCTGCGGCGTGAGCAGGGCACTGGGTGCCCCGAGGCCGCGCGAATAAAAGTTCCAAGTCCACGAAAGTCCTGTGCACAGCTCACCGTGTGCTATGGCTTTCGGGGGGTGACTTGGTGGGGGAGGGTGCGGTAAGGGGGTCGTGCTCGTCTTGACTGACACCCTCCGGCGGCCGACGCTGCGCGCTCCCCGCACACGCACCCACTCTTCATCGCGGTCACAGGCACGCGCCCTCGAAACCGCGCGCGCACCCCACCCGCAGCCGTGCACACGCGCTTTCGCCCACTCCAGTGCGTGTCCTCCATCCCCGAGCGGCAGCCAGGATGTACCGGGCCCCACCGTCACCGCGCCCGCGCCCCTCGCCCCAGTACGTCTTTTTCATTTACTGAATTTCTTATTTTCGTCCTTACAAGTGCCTCTGCCTTGTACGTAGCTTGGGCACGGATGGCCTCCCGGCGCCTTCCCCAGTGTCCTGCGCTGGCGGGGAAACGGGCGGTGACCAGCCAGCCCCGGGGTGCCCGGAGGGCTGTGAGCTCCTTGCGTGGCTGGGGTTCAGGTTCTGTTTGGCTTCTGGACACCCACCCCCCCCTTCCAGGATGGACCCAGATTCTGTGCCGGTCGCCTGCTCACCCACGCTGCTTCCCCATTCTAGAAGCTTCCCTCTTCCCAGCCCATGTTCCCAGTCCGCCTGTAATTGTGTAAGTTTCACGAAGCAACAGCTTTGGGCTCCAGGAACGCGCAGGGAAATCGCACAGTGCAGCGAAGTGCACAGGTCGGACTCATCTGCAAGCAGCCCCCCACCCTCACCCCCACCCCCTCCACTTTTGGGGGGAAAAAAATCTCTTAATGTTAGTTTTGATTTGGTTTTTGGTGGCGGGCGTAGTCATTTAAGTGATTTTGTTTTTGAAAAGAGAAAATGACCAACACGAGGTGTCCGAAATCTGGAGTTGTTCGTCACACACCGCGGCTGCGCTTGTGGCTAAGCCGTGGGGAGACCACCCCACTCTGCCATCAGGCTGTGAACTTTGGCGATGGCTGCAAGCAGTCTGGGGACGCTCCTGCCTCGGGCGCGGAGACGCTGGGCAGCGAAAAGTTTGCAGCCAGGCTTCGGCGCGAGTGGGGGCCAGGAACTTTCCTGGGGAAAGAGGGAGAACGGGTGGGGGCGGTTTTAGAGGGTGGGGGTTTTTGCCTAATTTTCTGGGCAGACTAGAGTTTGGGGAAGTTGCAGAGCTGAAGCGGAAGGTATGTGTCGGTGACGACTTTCTGGAAGAGAAAGAACGCAAAACGGTCCTGGATAGGTCTGCCCCCTAGTCAGGGGTGCACTCCTTTTTGTAACTTGGTTAATTGTCTTCTTTTCCCCCTCACCCCCCTCCTTTCTCTTCTCCTTTTCCTTCTTTTTTCTTCTTCTTTATTCCACACTTTGGGGAGGAGAAGCCTGTAGCTCCCGCGGTGTCTGAGCTTTTGGAGGAAGCCGAGCCTGGCTCCCGGCAGCATCCTGGACCCCAGGACACGAGAACTCCTCTTTGAGCGCAGGATCCCCACCTTTGTGGATCCCAAGTTGGTTTGTCCGCCCCCCCGTTCCCTCACCTGCTTTCCAGTACCTTGGCAGGATTTCCCAAGGTCTTTCTGGGACTCACACACGCTGATGTTTAATTTCATCGACTTGCTTTGCATTTTCCACGAGGTGTGGTCGTCAAGAGGGTTTTTAAGAGCCCTCCAATGAGGGCTAGCCGGAGACCCAGGCCCTTTCTCTGTCAGAAGCAAGCTTTCAGATGGCAGAGGTGCCACTCACGTCATGAGGAGCCTTGTGCAGGTCCCGCAGGCTGCTCGGCGCTGTGCTCACGCAGTGGCTCCCACCCCGTGAGCGGCCGAATGCGGACGCGCAGCTGGCGGCCGGCCTGCCCCGCGTGGGTGCAGCCCGGTGCGGGGCCGCGGATGGGCCGCTGGGAGCAGGCGCAGGCTCCACGGCGCCCTCCGCGCGCTCTGCGCTGGCATTTCGTTGAGAGAATCAGCAGAGACTTGGAGGAAAAGGTGAGGGACGTAGCAGGACGACCTGTGCGAACTCCCGCCGGTGCTAACACCAGGGGCAGCTAGGTACGTCTGCGGCCCTAGTTCAATTGACTTGGATAAACAACATTAAAAAAAAGTAAAAGTGGAAACAAAGGGCGAGTTGCTTCCTACTCACCTGTTCTCCCTTCTGGGCCTCCTTTAACTCAGATCTGAAACTTTTGTTTTTATTCAGTGCAACAAGCGTTAATGACAATATAGGGGTCTTAAGCTCGAGCCCCTCCAACAGATTTATTTCGAGGTGAAAACGTGTCAACAGAATGATTTCACGGGTGAGGACAAGAGTCTCCTGCAGGCGCGCCCAGAGTGAAGGCACAGGGAAGGGTGCTTCCCAGGTGCAGACAGGACTCCCCAATTCGGCTGGAACACACTCACCGTCACGTGACCGCTGCCTGGGACAATATTGTGATACCTAAACACCATTGCAAAAAACAAAAGTTGCTTTTCTTCCCTACAATTAAATTTAATTTGTTAATTGTCTTTCCTCTTGCAATGTTTTCATCTTCAGAGGTGACACGTTATTATTTTCCCTGCTTAATAATATTATTTACAAATTAATACTGTATATTTTGCATTAGTGGAACATATCATTAGGTGTTTGATTTAATGCGTATCATTTATTGAGACACAACGGCAGGTCTGAAGGGTGGATTTGACAGTGGGAGGGCGGAGAGGGTTCTGCTCTGATGTTTATTCCTGCCTCTCCGTCCAGGACACAGTTCTGCCTCAGGTGCAACACTGTATTTGCAACATGCTCATTTCTCGGCCACTTAATGCAAAAAGAGAGTTCAAATATTAGAGCTCCGTTTTCTGTCTCCTTCCATTCGCTTACCCCCCCCCCCCCCCAGATCAAAGTTCCTCTCCTCCCGGGCCCTTCTCCTCTCTCGGGCTCAGCCCCCACCCCTAACTTCTGTTTTAGAGCCTAACCGTTTCATCCAGCACGATTTTACGTCTTTAATGCTGTGACAAGTGACCGCTAATTGGTTCTTACTTGAGCAAAGATATTACCATGCTAATATTATTATTGGTAAGAAGAGGTAATTGATAACACCACCTGTCACTCTGGAGCAATCACAATGATAAATGTTTCCATCCGCAGGAAATCTGTGGTTGGTGCACCACAGCCCAGCCCAACAGCATGTCAAGTGCCAATTATAAAGACGTTGTTTTCTATTTACGCGGGGGGAGGGGCGGTCGACAACATGTAGCCCCACGTTATATTTATGGTTTCTTGAAAATGCTTTTTCCAAGCTTCTTAGTCACTCAGTGGAAGGCAACTTCCCCTATAAGAATAACATACGCTACTTAAATAAGGAAGCACAGAGCTGACTGCCCCGCCCACACCTCTCCTGTCTGGCACTTTGCTCTCCAACCTATGGAGATACGCGTCTAAATGATTTTAGTAGATAGCCAAGTGAAGAGTCTATGCATCCATCCAGCCTTGCATGCTGGGAGCCTCGTTTGGTCTTTCCAGGGCGTGTAGGCACCACGGGCAAAAACACTCCCTGGATTTTCATATTACTGGCAGGGAAACATCCGTCTTCACACTTAGGGGCTGGAGTGGTGTTAAGGTACTTCTCTGTGACCCTTCAACGGGGTGTCCGGGCTGCAGGCGGAGGTGAGGGGCATGAAGGTACGCGCCCATGAAAGATGCTGGCCAGCTCAAACTTGGACTCTGTCCCCTACAGGGAGGCTCAAACGATTATTATTAGCTTGCATTATTAGATGCAGGCCTCAAAAGGCGAAATCAGCTATTGATAATTGCAAGAAGTATACAGCAGCTACTGTATCGATCGGCTTGTCCCTAT